ATATTGCCTATCAATATAGTTGGTTGCCCCTAAACCAACTTGTTGAAAACACTTCAAGGCATGTGCGCAAGGCATGTGGTAGATGGTCCATTCCCACATGAACACAACCTGCTGGCTTCATTCACCGTTTGTAGATTATTCCCCCGGTAACCGCGGATAGCAGTCTTAACTTAAAAAATACCCTGGTCGTGATCGTACTGTAAAAATGAATGCCAATGTGCTCGCCTCCTATACCTTTCAAATCTTCTCAAAGGTATTATCATAAATTGAACACCCCTGTCCATCAATGCCGATTCAGCTCCATGCCTTTCAACAAACCTCTCCGCAATCTGTTTGAATGTCATACGGACCATGGCAGTGACAGGCAATCCATGGGCAGACTTCAACAAGCCATTGAATGACTCTAACACATTTGTAGTCAGGTCTCCCCATCGTCTGCCGCCATCAGCATGCAATGTCCATATATGAAGCTCATGTCCCATCAGCCAAGTATAGGCTCGTGGATCTAACTATCGGATCGCTTCCATGCGCCTCATGAATTTGCACTGCTGGTGCTCAGTTGCAGCCATCCACATTAAATCATGCAAGGCCTTGTCAGGATATTTCTTCTGGAAATTGGCCTTCAGGTGCCTCACATAGTAACGGTGGTATGCATAGGGTTCCTGCCATTCAGACAAATGTCGTACAGAACTTAAAATACCACCATGTCGATCAGATATTAGACAAATACCTGAACGTTGTTTGACAACGTGTTGCTTCAAGTGGTTCAAAAAAAGCGTCCACGTCTCTTCGCTTTTGTTGGCACAAATGGCAAAAGCTAGTGAAAATATTTGTCTGTTGGCATCTACTGCAATTGCAATCAAAAGCTTAATATCATACTTTCCATAGACATGAGTATCGTCTATGGAAATTACAGGACAACAATGCACAAAACCATCAATTGTTGGTTTAAATGACCAGAACATATAGTTGAAAATATATTCGGGTCTCTCCGGACTCTGCTCACGCCTCCATTCAACAACAGTCCCGGGGTTAAAATGTTGCAGTGCGGCCATGTACCTGGGCAGAGATGAAAAAGACTTATCTCAGTCGCCATAAATAAGTTCAAAGGCATGTTTGCAACCGAGATATGCCTTTCTTTTGGTTATAGTACAACTATACTCCTGGTGGACGGCTGTAATACACTCTTTAATCTTGAACCTAATGGACACTTCCAAATATGGAATCAAGACAAGAGAAATCAAGTCTACATCCAGGTTGAAGTGATTCTCATTGAATGTGTCCATTTCATATCTGTGGGTGCTAATAAATTTACCCACTTTCCACAACCCTGATTTCTTCTTGCTGGCACGCAACATCCAGTGACAACCCATAAAGTCTCTATGGCATACAGCCTTGTTTACCTCCGTAGTTGACTCCCTCACCGTCATCTCACGGCATTATCTTATGCTATAGATTTTTACAGCCCTGATTAGGCGAGCTTTATCGGGGAAATACATGCCTTTTGCCAGCACCACTGGTCTAGACTCATCCCACATTGCTGACTGAATTTCATCATCATCCCTTGTGAGGGCATCCACGTCTGGCATACTTGGCAGATTATCAAGGTAGGGAATATTCCGCTCATGAAACGGTACGTGAGACTTGTACACTCTTGGTCTAACGGGAGGTGGAGGAGCATGCTCCCTCGTCAGCTCAGGTTCGGCATCCACTTCCACTTCCTCCTCCTCATCACCCTCATCAAGGAAGGGTGTGTTATCTCCAAACTCATCGGTATTGTTGTCGTAATCACTATCATCTTCCTGACTCTGCGCATCTACCAAATCACGAGTCAATACGTCGTCTATGGGTAACTGTGTGAGATCAGAACATCAAGTTGCTCGTTTTCACTGCACAAAATGAACAAAATGATAAGCTACTCAACTAGATAAATACTTTACATATAGCTATATCACTTTACTTACAAGTCATACTATGTTGACGTTCTATGATGGATATTTTCTTGTTGGTGATGACTCCGGAATGGACCACCGTGGTCCAACACGCCAGAACTACGCATATTCCAACTAGGAGCGGGGTCATAACTTGTAAAATTCATATTCGAACGGTACCCCCTATGAAAAATATAAGTGTTAATACCAATCCAATTCAAACATAAAATAAACATCGTAGAAAAATTGAAGTTTACCAGTCGTCTTGTGGATCATATAAAGTCGAAAAATTATTTTGTGGCTGCTCATTCGCCAGTGGTGACAAGTTTAAATCAAGGCAAGCTCTTTCATCAGGAATCTGTCCGGCAAAAACTGCTCCAGAATAACCACCCGATGACTGGGGTTATCCCTACTATGCACACCCTCATTATTGGGAACGTCTTCAACCTTGACGTACATTTTCAATAATTTTATTAAAATAAATTCCCTGTATTCATCCGGAATCCGCAAAAAATCTAAGAGTTTCATCATCTTCGATGTTAAACTCAGAATAATAAGCAAACCCTTGAGGAGTCACAGAATACGAAAATCTACCAGTTACTTTAAGGTTCACCGAACGTTTCCTTACACTCATTTTTTTACATAACAACGATACCAATTTATCGTACTCTATTGTAAGCGGCAATTTAACATAACACTGTGCAAGTGAACTATACCTCACAGAGTTACTCTCCATTACAACCTCACCCTCCCCCCCCCCCCCAA